ATATCTTAAAAATTCACATTTTTCAAATTTTGGTTGAAAATTCACATGAATTTTTGCATTTAAATTTTTAAAATGTAAAGGAGAAAAATATTGAGGAGGCTATTTGGAAACAGATTTAAAAAAATAATAGTAACGAAAACTTAAAAATAACATTTGGGTGGGAATTACTCAGACTTAACAGAGGAAAGTCTGTATTTGTCTTCCCATCTTTGAAGGACAGCTTCATTTGTGTCCCTCTCAATTGAGCTTTACACATATTTTCTCATATATCTTTGTGTAATTTTTATAGTCTCCCATTGGGTAATAATCTCCTTCAGCTTTTTGAAGAGCCACAGAAAAAAATTTAAGGTAGGAGAAACCACATGCTGCCTGAAAATACTTAGTGTCTAAAGTAGGGAAGGAAAGGAGTATTTTTTTTAAATATAAATATAAAAGATATATAAATATAAAAAATAGCTGCCATGTGTACTCAGATGTTTCAGTATGATTCAACAAACACCGAATGCCACAATGGACCAGTCACTGGGGTGACAATTAGGATGAAATTAAGGGCACTGTGCCGAAAGTTTTCATTCCATTGACAATACCACATCCACAGATAATCCAGTCAATGTGGTCTCCTAGTGTGTCGATATTCATACAGTGTGACCGAGACTCACAGTACAGAGGACTCCAGGAAAACGTCCAAAAAGAGATGAGGCCTGAACTGAGTTTTAGGGGGAAAAAAGGACCCACCTAAAGAAAGGTAGAGAGGTGCCATCTGAGCCAGCGAGGCTGAGACACAAGGGTAAAGCACTATGTTCTGAGCACAGGCTCACTGGAGTCTCCAGGCAGCACCTGATATTTGGCAGCAGTGGCAAGATGTGTGATAAATAACATGTCACTGATAATTTGATAAAAATTTGTGAATATTGACTTGAAAATGGCCCTGTAAGTAGTATGATATCTTGGGGTTCTTTTGTTTACAGGAGTATACATATCTTTTTAATTACCCTAAGCTGAAATGGTGGATATAGAGGAAGAAACTGCATTATCTCTGTTCCCAAGGTAAAAACGCAGCCAAGCCTGGGAAAATATCAGAACCCCAGCAATCCATCCTCACGTTCTATCACAGATCTTCTGCCAACCTTGTAAAGCAGTCCCAAGATTAACTCTCTGTTCTGCTGACTATAAATGGCTCCATAAAATAACCAACAATGATCTGACAAGAACTGATGACTGCAAACATGGGTGAAAAAAACAGCAAAGTGGAATAATGGACATTATGCCCATCAAATAGCCCACTAAAAAAATTTCAGACACTGCAGAGTGGGAACTGGGGAGGGGTGTGGGGTGCTGAGAAACCCCAGAGGAATACAGGCTCTATGAAGCTGTTTTTAACCAAGGCTCTAGCCTTGAGTCCTTTTTTTTTTAATTTAAATTTTATTTTTATATTCCCCATACAATTACAACCCCCTTATTTTGACCTCAATCCCTCCTTTCCCCGCCCCCCACACCCCATAGAGTGTCTCTGGTTCATGGTTGTTTGTTGATTTTGATATTTTCTTTCCTATAGTTATTCTTTTTCCTGGTCCCTTATTTAAGTTTTCTAGATTCCTGCTATGAGTGATACTATCCGGTATTTTTCCTTTTCTTTCTGGCTTATTTCGCTGAGCATGATCCCTTCCAATGCCATCCATGTTGCTGCAAATTGCATGTGTTTATCTTTTTTGAATGCTGAGTAATATTCCATGGTGTATATGTACCACATCTTCTTGATCCAGTCATCTATTTTTGGGCATTTGGGTGGTTTCCAAAGCTTAGCTATTGTAAATAGTGCTGCTATAAACATAGGGGTGCAGGTGCTCTTTGGAATTGATGTTTCTGTGTCCTTTGGGTAAACACCTAGGAGTGGAATTGCTGGATCATATGGAAGCTCTATGTTTAGTAGGTCCAGAAATCTCCACACAGCTCTCCATAGTGGTTGGACCAGTTTGCACTCCCATCAACAGTGCAGGAGAGTTCCTTTTTCTCCACAACCTCGCCAACATTTGTTGTTGCTAGTTTTTTTAATATGTGCCATTCTCACTGGTATGAAATGGTATCTCATGGTAGTTTTGATTTGCATTTCCCTGATTACAAGTGATGTTGAACATTTTTTCATATGCCTGTTGGCCATTTGCATTTCCTCTTCAGAGAAGTTTCTTTTTAGCTCTTCTGCCCATTTTTTGACTGGATTATTTTCTTTGTTTTTGTTGCGTCTCATCAGCTCTTTGTAGATTCTTGTGATCAGTCCTTTATCATCAGTGTTGTGTGCAAAAATGTTCTCCCAGTCGGTGGGGTTTCTCTTTGTTTTTGTTATTGTCTTTTTTGCTGTGCAGAAGCTCTTTAATTTGATGTAGTCCCAGCTGTTTATCTTTGCCTTCACTATCACTGCTTTGGGTGATGTGTCTGTAAAGATGTCTTTGATGTGCATATCATGTAGTGTTTTGCCTGTATTTCCTTCTATGTATTTTATGGTTTCAGGTCTTACGTCTAGTTCTTTAATCCATTTTGAGTTGATTTTTGTGTATGGTGTGAGGTAGTGGTCAAGCTTCATTCTTTTGCATGTAGCGACCCAGTTTTCCCAGCACCATTTATTGAACAAACTTTCTTTGCTCCAATGCATAGTCTTTGCTCCTTTGTCAAAGATTAGTTGACCATAAATCTGTGGATTTTCTATTCGATTCCATTGGTCTGTATGTCTGTTCTTGTTCCAATACCATGCAATTTTGATGATTATGGCTTTGTAGTATAGTTTGAAGTCTGGGAGTGTGATGCCTCCATTCCCTTCTTTTTTTTTCAGGAGAGCTTTGGCTATTCGAGGTTTTTGGTGATTCCATATGAATTTCATCAATAATTGTTCTATTTCTTTGAAGAATGACATTGAAATTTTGATTGGAATAGCATTGAATCTGTATATTGCTTTTGGTAGGATTTGCCTTGAGTCCTTCTTAACCACATGCCTCACAGGTGATGTCAGCCTGAGTAAACCCTACCACGCCAATGAGCAATGTGAACTGAACAAAGGATAGATCACAAAGCCAATGTTAGGAAACCAGGTAGCTAGTTTCTATGACCAAAGGAAGATGATGAAAAGACAAAGCCTACTTTACCAGGGAATGCCAGGCAATTTTCCAAGTGCTTAATGCATATTCATTCATTTGGAGAAAGATATTATACATATTGATTATTTCTAATAGATTTTTATTGGCATCTTCAGGGTGTTCAGTGTATATTATTATGAAATCTGCAAATAGGAATGGTTTTACTTCTTCTTTTCCAGTTTGGGTTCCTTTTATGTCTTTGTTAATATCTCAACCCCTCTAGAAGTAAAAGGAAAATTCTGTCCTTTGACATTTGACAAGTTCTTAATCTACTGATATGACTGCTTGTGATGCATGTTTATATATGCCTATACAAAAACTGTCCCCAAACCAGTGAGTTCTAGATATTCTTTGATTTTTCTCCTTTTGAGATCAGTTCCCATAAGAAGAAAATTACTGGTTTTATCTCATTTAGTGACCACTTTTCAAGCTGAGCTATGTGTTAAGCGACTTATATAAGCCTCTATCTGCCTTCATGAATTCTCTCCACTCCTCTGCAGTTATATGCTTTACCAAGTGCAGGTAAAAACATTGTAAGTTCATTCCATATTTTTGTGTTGAGCAGGAGGCTAAAAAGAGAAAAGCTGCTTCATCAGTAAACTGTTAACATTGGTTGTTTGGCTGGTTTTCTACCTCCTCTTTGACCAATTCTATGACAAAGTAACTCCTTGTTTAAATAGAGACTCTAAACTGCATGTGACAGGGTCCCATTCAAATCAATGCAAGAAAATCCCTAAGAGAATGAATTAACTTAAGTAACCAGAAAGTCTAGGTCTGGGTATGAAGCTTCAGGGATAGCTGGTTTACAACAGTTAAGACCTGGTCCCACCTGATCCACAAAGAAGGATTCCTCCCAGGAAAACAGAGGGTCTTCTTTGCCAGAATAAGGGAGGAAATTGCTGAACTGGCAGAAGGAATAACCTAAGAAGATAGTTTCTGGTTCAACATATTTTACTATTTTGTCTACATTGTAGTCTTCGCTCTGAGCTTGTTTGGATGAGGGCTTGCAACATTGCATCATTCTTCCTTGGTCCTGAAGTCTACTGCCCATAGGAAATCTGCTTTAGTTCCTTTAATGTCTCTCCATAATGAGAGTAGAAAAACAAGTTACCTGCTGTCTGGTTCCTGTTCTGCCTCCTTGCTATTCTGTTGTGATATTTGCTATGTAACAATCCATATTTTGTGTGTGTGTGTTGTGTGACTTAATTAGGACAAGATGATGTACTGGACATAAATATTATGGAAGAGCATAATCAAGACCTCTAATGGGGTCTGAATAAAAGAACTTCTAAATCTGGTTTTGGGTCTCATATTACTGGACCTGCAAAACCTTCATGCATGTCTAAATATTTAAGTACAGGAGCTCTTGGTCTTGTCCTGCCAGAATTGTCTTTGATAACCCATGAGGGACTGGACCAGCACTGGTAGAGCGCCGAGGATGACTCTAATCCCCAGGAACCAGATAAATGTGCCCCACTGCAGGGTTGTAAGTGGGGTAGGTGAGCACAGCTGACAAATACTTGATTCCTGGCGCGGCAGTAGCTGCCTCTACGTTGGGCAGTCCCAGAGTATGACTTTGTTCTCCAATCCCTCTGCCTCAAGAGAGGTTCAGCAGTCTCCATAGTTTTTTGTTCCAGAATTAGGTTTGTTTATCCTCTCTCTGCTCCTTCCATCGCCTCTCCCCGCCAGCCATTAGAATGCTTTGTCTGAAGCACAGTAGCAGGAGAATGGCTCTTGGTAACCATAGGCAACCATGAATCTGTACCAGCTATTTTTGCTATATTTGTAAGGCACAATCTAGCCCCTAACTGGGTAGATGGGAAAATGTGCTTTAAAGATTTTCTTGTACAGTAAAATATTGTCTAACCTTTTTTTTAAGAACAACAAGTTCACGGAGGAGATGCAGATAACTGGAGACGAAAATCTTTCAGCACTGGCTGGCAAGGTTTGTTCATGTAACTCTGCTCCGCGTGCATTGATGTCATGGGGAAATCGGTGACCTTCATTTCAGGTCAGCACTTGTAATACATTTCAGAGCTCTCCCGGGTTTGCTAATTCATGCAAATGGATGTGTGAATCCTTTTAATGATTTCTCCTTTATAAAACACTCCTTTTATAATGCTTCCAGGATGTGATGTAGACCCAATCTTTCGTCTCCAAGCTTCCTTCCAATCTTATTTCAGACAGCCTCCTGTTACAAAACCCCTGGTACTCCTTGTTCCCTTCCTTCTGCTCACCCTTTCAGGTACCTCCTGAAAAGGAAGCTTTTCCCTTTATTTGTCTGCTTTTTCTCTCACTTAGTGCTTCAGCACCTAAGCACTCCAGTTACATTTAAAAGGATTTGTTAAAATGTTCAAATTTAGGGAGGGAATAGAAAAGGATTCTTAGGAGCACATTTTCTAGTCCTTTGCCTTTTTTTTTTCTTCCCAGGACAAAGAATGTAACCTATTGGGCATATATCTCCAATTTTAACTTGGAGTTCCAAACTTGTCAATGCTTAATATTAAATGAAAAATTGTTAAGATTCAGACATCAAGCTATATATTGGAAAGAAGAGTTGTTTCATTAAGCAGATGGTGTTTGTGCACTGTAATCTGAAACGCATGTTTTGCTGTGAATGAAAGCAATGCAAGATTTGTTTTTCTTCATCTCCACTGACAGATCTTTTCTTTATTATCGCTGAATGACTTCAGCTTTTTTAGTAAAATGGATCAGTCCATCACACAAGCTTAATCTCTCCTATTTGTCGTTGTTATTGTTATGCAATGCTCGCATGAGGAAAAGGAATAACAGACACATTTAATAAAAAACGTGTATAATAACATTAGGAACACTACGGAAACCAAAGGACTGTAACTATAGAATAGCTCATTTCATTCAACTCCGGATACAGCATAACAGCATCCAAGTGTTAAATTGCCATCTAGAAGTAAACTATGTTCCATAGAAATTGGAATTTACTTGTTGATGTTAATCTATCACTAGGCCACCATTTGATGTTACTATACCAATGCTTAACATAACATTCTAGAGAGCTAAAATACTCAATGCAATTTCCAGAAATTCAGAGCTTTTAACAACCCCGGAGTGGCCTTTAGTCACTTTAGTACTTTGATGGATGCTGTTGCTTTATAGGTTTATTACAAAAGAGAAATACAGTACCTGTGCTTTTACCATGGGGCTCTCTTAATGTGGCCATTCTAAGAATCCCAAATGAATAACGAAAAAAAATATTGCAGAGAATTGTGGATCTTCTCTCCTTCCTCTAAAAGCAAATTCTCTCTCATGTAAGTGATTTTCCTCTGAGGTGAGCAAGCTCTGCATAGTCCTTTCCCTTAAGAGATAAGAGAGTAGGTTGAGGAAGGGTCATTTCTTACTGCAGTGAAGTGAGCAGAAGGAGGAGAATCACTGTGCCTTCGTGTCCCCTTTTATAATTACCGTACAGCCCCTTGTGAAAAAGTGCACATCATGGGAATTTGAGTAGGACAGACAGAAAACCAGTCAGCCATAAGAATGAATGGGAGTAAGCAGCAAGTTACCTGGACAAAGGATTCTCTCAGGGTGCCACTGTTACTTTCTGCTATGCTTATACTCCCCTCATGACGCAAATCCATGCACATTCAAATGTGGCTGAGTAGATCCCCTTGGACTTGCAACTCACTGGGTAAATATTTCTAAGGTGAATCAGTATCTTTTGGCTAAGTTCTCAATGGTCTTAAAGATTCTGTAGCATAGCACCCCCAGGCCCTCATCAGAAGGATGCTGCATGAGCCCTTGAGAACCACACTCTACCTTTCAAATGTATCTTGAATCTGTCCACTTATCTCTATCTCCATGGTCATCACTGCAGTCTAGACTCCTAACTACTCAGAGTGTGGTCTAGGGCAGGAGTCAGCAAACTTTGTAGGTAAGAGCTAGATAGTAAATCTTTTAGATTTTATGGGTCATGCTGTCTCTCTGTTGCAATCATTTAACTGCCATCATAGCAATGAAGCAGCTGTAGATAATATGGGAACAAAGGGGCATGGCTTTGTTTTAATCTAACTTTATCTACAAAATTAAGCATCTGATCCTGGCCTATGGGCTGCAGTTTTTCTTCTATCCTTCAGGTCTCAACCTAAAATGTCCACATTGTTGGGGAGGCCTGTCCTGACCTTCTGTCTAAAATTAGCTCATGCTGTTCCGCTCTGTTCATTCCCCATTCCCTACTAAATGCCATATCAGTACCCTATTTCCATTAGGGCTCTTCCCATAACTTATAGTGTTTAAGACTACAAGTTATGCAGCCTTACAAATCAACATTTGCATATACTGCATTGTGTTTACTACTAAAAGTATAGTTTCCATCCATCACTATACATTTGACCTCTTTTACTGGATTCACTCACTCACCCCTACCTGCTTCTCTTCTGATAGCCACTATTTTGTTCTTATAGTCCCAAAAGTTTGTTTTGTTTTGCTCATTCGTTTTGTTTTTTTACTGCATAAGTGAAATTGTATGGCATTTGTTTTTATCTAAGGGATTATTTTTTATTTGCTTTATCTCCTGCCCGAATGGCAGCGTCCTGTGGGCAGAGACCATGTCTTCTCTTTCACCATTCTATCTCTAGCATGGTGCAGAGTACTATACAAGCCAGAATAAATTTTTGGCTCCTCTTTTGTCTTAGAAATCAGAAAGATACTTCAATTAAATGTGGAAAAGGGAGGTCTTGGTGAAGGGGGAGGGTGAACAGAAGTCCACCTAGTCACAGCAAAGGACACATCAACCAGCTGTTTTGCTTTAGGGTTGGATGAGAAAGGCGTTGCAGGAGGGAGCATCCTCTTTGTAGAGGCCGAAGGGATTCTGTATTGCAAGAGATTCAAGGAGCGACTAAGTTGGTGAAAGCTGCACAGCTAAGGATGGGGGAGTAAACAAAAATGTCTTAACTTTTGAGATTTCCTGTTCTTGAAACACATAAAAGCATCATATGGCCTGCCCCACTCAACCATTCTTCAGCCTTTCAGAAAAAAAGCTATCCATTGAAATATTGAGAACTTTAAAAATAAATTTTCAGAGGTTCTCTAGAAGCTTTCCATCATGCAGAATGCATACCAACTGGGGGGAAAAAATAAAAAAAAAAAAGCACCCAGTAGTTGCTGGGAACTATTTTTGTTGTTGTTGGTTATAGAAGAAAGCCTCAACCTGCAATAAATATCTGCATTGGATAGAAGGATTGTTATAGGTCATCCTCTAACTTCTCCCTTCTCATATAGTCATTATATGATTTCTCAATCAGCAAATTAACATTGAGGTTCATTTATCATTGTATTATCACTCTGCTGTGAACATCTACACACCCAGAGAAGAGCTCCAAATGTCTTTCCACACAATACTCTTTCCTTGAACTTAAAGAAATCCAAATCCAAGGAATGATTCCTTGGGACTATAATTGTTCTAGAAAGAGGAGGATGGGATTTTACTTGGACCAGAAGATCCAGGAATAACACAGAAGAAAGAGTAAGGGCAGTGAGGGGTGAAGGAGAGAAGTAGGAGAGCAAGAGACAGGAGTGGGCCCATGTGGCTGAAGGAAATTAGACCAAAGTAGAGAGAAAAAATAATAAACACTAAAAATATAAATTGGATCTGGATTGTAGAATACAGTGAATGTCTCAAAAAAAGGTTTAATTTGCTTAGAAAAAAAAAAAGAAAAGAAGAGGCACGAAAGTTGTTGAGCAGAGGTGACATCCTAAAATTGTGTTCTAAGAAAATGACCTGAGAGGTGGGTGGGATTAATGGAAGGAAGAGAGAGAAACTCCAGGGAGAGAAACCAGATGGCAGGTGGTGTACAGCAAACGCAAGTAAAGGAACCACATAGGAGTGAAAGAGAAGGGCAGGAGGCAGTGGAGCAATGACAGGGTTACATGATTAAATGAAGAACAATTAGAATTCTTTGAAATTACTTTATAAAAGCTTTTAAAACATGGCAGAATAACTTACCTGTGTAATTTTTCCATGCATGATAAACCCTATAACTGTACTATGTAACTTCTTGAGCCATCCTAAGACATGCAAGTTAAAATATTTAGAAAAAGGAGACTAGGGCCTCCCCAGTGGCGCAGCGGTTGAGCGCTGGGTTGCGAAGCTGCCCACAGCCTCTGCGGCGCTGGTTCGATCCCCGGCTGCTCCCCGGCCACCGGAGGAGGGGCCCACATGGTGCGCAGACCTCTCCTGCTGCCCGCTGCTCCCCTCAGGAGTGTACTTCGGTCCTTATGCCTGTTCTTCTCCCCGCTCTGGCTCTGGTGAATTCTCTCACCCTCCCGAGCTTCTGACTGTACCCAGTGCATGTATAAAGAAAACAAACAAATAAACAAATAAATAAATAAATAAAACATGCCTATAAAAAAAAAAGAAAAGAAAAAGGAGACTAGACAACTCCCAAGCAACTTCTTATTTTTTTTTTTTTGTTTCTTTTCTTTCTTTCCTTTCTCTTTCCTTCCTCCTTGCCTTTTTTTTTTTTTTTTTTTTTTTAGGCAAAGGGAAGGCAGCTCACAAGGGAGGCTGGCTGAGTCATGGTTCTAAATAGGTCATCCTTGTTAAATAAAGGGAGCCCTCAATGATTAAGTTAAATGGCCTCTTCGACTCACAACGTTAAAAGCATTTTACTCAGCTGTCTGCACAACATGCTCTCTGGCTGATATTTTTCAGAGTTGATTTAATCCTGGCACTTCATAAAATGTGTGTATCCATTAAAGCAGGAAGATTTTATTCATGTTCAAGAGAAACCCCTGAAAAGGTGGAATAAAACCAAATGCATGGGAATAGGCCGAAATCTGGCAACTTGGAATCATGGATGTGCAGGTTAGGTGCAAGATTTCAGGAGACATGCTCCTCACCTCCCCCAATAAGTTACTAATCAAATGCCAGAATGAGGCATTGGAAACTGCCAAAATTTCTTCCTTGGCTGC